GGAGACAGCAACCCGCTAATGCAGCAGTGCCGTCAGTCCGTTTTGGCGGACGGCAACTGGTTAATACAACTCTGGGTGGACTGAGTCGAAGTGACAGCCGAAGCAGGGAGAACGGCCTGCCAAAGTGTCGGCCATTCGCCCCGCAAATGACAGCTGGGCGGAGCCAGCCATGATCTCACGGCTGGCTCTGCCCAGTTCTAATGACAGATCAGCGTCCCCAAATAACCTGGAGACGCTGATCTGTCATTAAACAATAACAACTGGGCGGAGCCTGCCAGCTCTGCCCAGTTGTTATTCATTGACCGATACCTGCTAAAAGACTCTGGCAGGTGCGAGCCAATAGGAAACAGGCAGAGCTAGCTCCGCCCAATTGTTTTTTGTTTTTCTTTAAACAAAACATTTTTAATACTCCAATTTTTAAAATAATTCAAACCTTTTTTTTTTTGTCACTCTTTTTCACGTATTTTCTATTCTGCTCGGTACCTCGGAGGGACCGAGTAGAATTTGCCGAGCCGATTCACTCACTGCTGTTCGGCTCCAAATGAGACTAGCTGCCGGAGCTTCGGCACAGCTGATCCAGATGTTGGATCGGCTGAGTCAAATTCCTTTTGAACTTCGGCTTATACCAAAGGCAGCCGATGTATGGCTGAAATCAGCCGTACTGTGCCCGGAGTGAATAGCCGAACGTCGTTTCGGCTCTGTTCACTTCGGCTCAGTTATGCCTTCGGCAGCTTTGTGAATAACCCTGTAATTCTTTATCTGTATCAAAGTTAAATAGATGGCAGCGGACGCAGGACAATGTGGAAAAATATTACCAGCAATATAACATGTGGCCACAAGAGGGAGACAAAGTCCTTGCTTTATGGCAGGTAACAATACCGTACTATTCATTGAGGCTCAACACTTGAAATATCCATTCATGAATAACAACTTCCTGTTTACTTGTTTCAATAAAAAAAAATTATATATATATATATATATATTCTGCACAGGATTCAGCATTCAAAGTGACAGGAATTTGCTTTTCACATGATTGGAGGGAACATTCTCACAGTGCCAGTTGATTCATCTTGTATTCATGTGTGTGAAGATTCTGAACTACTTTAGTAAATCAGCCCAATTGCACATGAACTAAACAGCACTAGACAGTGTAAGATTAAGAGCTCTGAATATTTTACCATGGAGATCCTGGTCCAGCCACTTCCTGTTACCGAGTGACAACGGTCTCACAATCGGGCTCCTGCATTGTCACACATGCTCATGGTTAAGATTACAAGTGGCCGTGCTGACACCTTGTACAGGCATAATTGCCCCTGTCACTATTGGGATCCTGATCCAAAGCAAAAAAAAAAAGGTGCAGCCAACGCTTATATCAGTGCATGTAGATAGGAAGTGTCTGAAAGGGGCTGGAGGTGATCAGCAGCATTAAAATGGAAACAAGTACTTTTAAAAAACAAAACAAAATGGCAATTGTTTATTATGCTGGGTGCTTTAGCAGATCAAATGCCAATTAAGGTGTGGACATTCATTTCTATGGTCCTAGCCTTAGCAAAATAAAATATAACTGC